CTAGTGTGTCCTTGAACACCCAGAGACTCTGCTTGCCATGTGATTGGATTAAGGGCGTGTGCTACCACTGCCTGAAGTTTGTTTATGGCTGGCTATGTCCTCTGATCTCCAGGCAAACTTTATTTATTAACATACAAATAAAATACCACCACATTTCAGCACAAATAAAATATCACCACTTCACGAAGTGGACTCAAGAGCCTTATTGAACCTTATTGAACCAGATAGTCCATAATACTTCTATCACACATTACAGAAAATAGCACAGGCTATGTCCCAAGTTAGGTACAGCAAGATTCTTTACATTCAAGACCCAGTTGAAGATTAAAGAAAAGAAGAATTAACTGTTTTCCCTTTAGTTAATATGTTGGCCAAGCCATATTTTTAAGCCTATGAACCAAGTCCTAATGTTATGCCCTATGCAAATTTCTCATCTCTGAAGTAAATTTCTTAGTTATATTTACTAAATGACAGGGTTCAAATGAGTGTGTCAGTACAGGTGGACAGATTTATAGTTATAATACAATAGAGTGGGTTTATTAATGGCTCCATTTGTTGAGCTTTGCAACCCTAAGAGTGTTGAGATAGGACATTGCAATGGCAATTTTAATTCATAAGCAATGGATGGCATTCATCCCTTCTTTATCACTACTATATCAGAAAATGCATGGAGTTGGTGCTTTTTAGAGACGCCAGGCACTATTCCATTAAAAGACACCAGTTCTGTTAAATACTAATGTCAGTGAGAACTTCCTGGTAAACAAACCAAGTTAAAATGATGTTCAGTTTTACTGCACATTTGTGCATGCTTTGTGATACAAACACAATTGTTTCAATGTTTTACATATTTTTTTCTAATTCTTCCATCATTTCTAACATTGTTCTTATAAGAATGTTTCTGAGCTGACCAATTCCTTAGTATATGAATTAGCATTCTACATTTAAACAATATCTATTCCAACATTTAATTTATGCTAAATTTAAAAAAGATGCATCACATTTTCCCCTCTTTTCCTTTAATTGACTCTTCTCTGCAATTTCTTAGAACTCTTGTCCTTTCCTTTAGGAAACCTACTTTCACAGCTTTTTTTCAAATTTTGACCATTGAAAATAGCACACAATTAAAATTGGGGGCAATGGAAATAAAATTTAGATCTAGTGAAACAATGATTCTCATTGTCCTGTGATGGTCGAAGCACATTGTTTTATTTCATTTATTTCTTTTCTCACTAGTTTACAACTAGTCTCAACTGGACAAGTAGCAAGTTATGGTCACAGAGAGATAGGATAATAATCGTGTGTTTTCATATCACATTGTCTCTTGGAGACCAGAAAGTTGGTGAAGTTATGACTTGCAACTATGAGCCTACATTTAAAACTAAAGTATGAAACATTAGGAGTTCCTAGAAAATTTACTTTGCATTTTCCAACATCGAGCTCTAGAGAACCTTACCATTTAGAATAGTTGCCAATCACAGAAAATGTGATTTTCCTGGTGTCATCTTCCACCCCAAATGAAATAGGGTATTTATGGACAGATTCAAGATAACAGGCCTAGATATTCAACTGGGTGCATATTTCATAGCAAAGTGGAAAGAGCCTGTCAGTAGATTTCTAAAAACTGAATTCTGCTATAAATGGATATCTTAAAATATGTCACAATTTCTCTTTGGGCATCAGTTTCTTTAAGTACAAAAGAAGAGTTCTAACTTCAGCATTTTATGTTACTGTATCATAACTGAATGTGGAAATGTCATAGCTACTACAAGTAAATGAAAGCTTATCATAAATAGCAATAGTTAAATTTATTATTTGAGAGGGGGAGAAGAGAGAGATTGGCACATGAATGCTGTGCTGTACTTGTGGAGGTCAGAGAAACATTTTTGGAACCAGTTCTCTCCTCCTACCCTGATGAGGCAATATTTCTTATTATTTCTTTTGTGCTACATACTTCAGGTAGGCTGTCTTATAAGCTTCTGGCAATATTCCTGTATGCAGCTGTCTTCCTGATGTAGGAGTTCTGGGATGTATGTCTATATAGGTTCTGCATACAGAGCTCAGGTCATCAGGCTTCTGTGGCAAATAATTTTACCTGGTGGTCAAAGTGCCAAAAATAGTTGTCTGTTGGGTGCTCAGCTATAAATGGGCCATCATCTATCTCACAACTCTTTCCCCAAAGCTGAAGGAAACATTGTGGGAGAGGGAATGGAAAGACTTAAGAGGCAGAGGTTTGGGGAAGGTGTCAAAAACCTGTCTTCTGGACATGACAGGAGTGATGCACTCATGAACTCACAGCAGGTATAGTTGCTTATACCAAATCTGCACAAGATCAGCTTGGTCAACATTCTATCATGGAGGCAGGAGGGACTTGTGAGCTCTCACTCCTAGATGATTAACTATCGACAATTAATGCCTTCTAGAGGAGACTGAGTCAGTTCTCTTTAGAAGTGTGGTTCCTAACAGATGAGGCATTCTCCAGTGGGTGGCTCCACACTCATGCCTATTAGGGTGGCTGTTGTGTAGCAATTTTCTCTGAGATAAAGCATTTCTTCCTGGAGGAAAGATTTTCAAAACTCAGAATAGTATAAAGGAATTAAAGATTCCATTGTCCACTAAATTCATTAGGTCCAGGAAGCAAACAATATAAAGGCTTCAGGAAGTCACTAAAAAGGACAAGATATAGTAGGTCTCTCTATCCCCAAGCATATATAAACCATAAAATACTGCTGAGGGATGAAACTCTCAGACCCAAACCAACTGACTGGAAGATGCTCATAGATGCCAAGCCATCTGGAAGATGCAGAACTTCCTAGAAGATGCTCAGACCAACTGAGATGTCTACAAAAGATACTCTTCATTCGTTCAAAGTACCTACACGTTTTGCAGTGAGATCTGGGCTTCCAGGTTTACAGGTGTGAGGAGCTGTCATACATGCTAGGTGAGCTTTTAGTTTATGTTTCTTTAAGGAACTTCTCACTCATATTCATGTGAGAAACCCCAACAAAACTCATTGGTTCAACAAGTTAGACTTTGAAGGTAACTTTCCTTTGGTCTGTAATCAGTTCCAAATCTGGGGTGAGCAGAAATTATGTTAATGTCTCTCCAGTAACAGTGTCATACAATAGTAGCACAAGTTGGATTCAGTGGGTTAGAAAGAAAAGACAGAATATGAAGTTGGGTGTAGGGGATAGAAGGTAGGAGGTACCTCTAGGATTTAGGGGAAAGAAAAGAGGATAAATATGGTAAAAAATATATTGTTTGCATGAAGGACATTCTCTAAGAATAAAATCTCATGTTAAAAATAAACAAATTCATTTAAATACAATGAACAGTATTTAGCATCTGTGTAATTGTGCTCTAGTTACTGATGAAAATGTCACCTTTTGTCTCTAGTAAGCCTCTGACAATGTCATGTAATTGAAATCCATTAGTTATTTTTTGGTAAGTGCAACAAGAAATCACTGATTGGGTAAGTCATAAGCACATAGCTATGGAGAAAACATTTTAGCATATGGTTTGTCCACCATGCCTTTTAAGAGTGTCTATATTTTTACAATCGCTCAACTGACATTTTTGATTCAGCAAATGAAGAATTAAGCAGTGTTTGTTTCTTACCAGAAATTAACCTTGAAAAGAGAATTAAGTCTCAAACACGTGTATGGATACAGTCTCCTCTCTATGTGTGTGTGCATTACGTGCTTACACAAATGCACATATACATGAATCATACACATATACATACATGCCTACATATGTGGAATCTGATGTCTTCTAGTTCCCAATCAAAAGGCACACATGTGGTACATGTAAGCCCCTCAAGCACTGGAGTGCCCAGGTACCTCCACCTAGGACCTCTAACTGGCAGGTTTAACCCATAGAACACTCTAGCTGGGCCCAACCCCAACCCTGCAGAGCAAAAAAAGCCCAATCTCTGGACATGAAATCCCACCAATCCTCCCACTGAAAGCTCCAACCTGAAAAGTTCTACCCGCTTCCCAAGAAGCTGTATATAAGCCTTCTATTCTGTTCAGTTTGCTGCTGCTTCATGCTCGAGCAGAGGCCGCCACCCTCCTGTTTTTTCACTCTGCCAATAAAGCTCTTGTGTGAGGTTTGCTGTATGGTTGACTTTGTGTCATTCCTTGGTTTCCAGCTGCCAGGATAACTTTCCATCCCAGCTGCAAGGCTTACAGTACACACACACACACACACACACACACACACACACACATACATATACATATATATATATGATTCTGAGCTTTTTGTTCTTAGTTATATATAAAACCATAGCCTCTTCCTTTTACCTAAATGCCATGCAAAAGTAAAAACTCGTGGAAAGTGCCACTGAATTCTTTGCTTAATAACCTATTAAGAGAATTCTCTCTATCCATAAAGAAAATTTGTTAGTATAAGCCTATAAATTATTGAAAGTTTCTTGAAAAATAAATAAAGGGAATATTCAGGGAAAAAGACCACAGTAGAAATCATGTTCTAGAGAAATTCTTCAATATATGATCTTATTTGAGAATGTTTGTGCCCCCAAACTATATCCAGTATGTTATATATCATAGCATGATTTGCATTATGTTCTCAAAAAGATATGTTACCTAAAGTAATTAGTATTTTTGTACGGCAATGCAACCTTGAAATTCTAACATTTGGGAAGTAGAGACAGGAGGAAAGGAAGTTCAAGGCTGTCTTTGGTTACACAGCAAGCTTGAGGACAATTTGTTCCACACAACACAATGTTTTAAAGCAAATTAAAAAAAATAGTACTACAAATGTTATTAACAGCCCAAATGAAAAATCTTAATCACATGACCAGATTATGCCATTAATAGCTGCAGAATCCAAATTCTTAAGGTTATCGCACTAGCATGTACTTGTATTATACTTCTTCAATTATTCTTATCTTTTCACAAACCAGCGAATATGTATCTCCCCCAAATTGCTGATTTATCTGTTATAAAGGTAAACTTATAGAGATTTCAGGGACACAATTTCAAATTTAATATTTATTGCCATCAAAATTAGTGATTTAAGGTATATATAACAATAACCGCCACCACAGAAAGAATCTGACAAAGCAAACAAAGCTGTCTTCTACATGTGTGATAAAGCTTTAATTTTATCCCTGTTCAAAAATAAACTATGTTTAACATATAGATGCTTGAACATGCTCTGGAATTTAGATTAGGCAAGAAGGTTTATCCAACATTGCAGACAAGCTCTGAAATATCATCTTTTCAAAAATTTTTGATCTGAATTATTGAAATCTGATGAATTCACATAATCACATGAATGTTATGATCAACAAGGATTCAGTATTGCACATCAAGCTTGGATAAAATCAAGTTTCTTTTTATGAGTTCGTTCTGATCTGTGTTTGAAAATCTTTCCTAATCTATCTGGACAGCATTGCCAAAATGTAATGTTATACATACGTGTGTGTGTGTGTGTGTGTGTGTGTGTGTGTGTGTGTGTGTTCAGAGCTCTTTATATGAGCATTGCACATTGCCCATAGAAGGGATAAAAAAATGTTTCAAAGAAAGAAAAAAATATGTGAATAAATAAACATGTGGTCATTTGGTGCTAGATGTTTTAGTATGCTTGTTGGTTAGTGGTGAATCATGCCAAAACCAAATAATAACATCACTTACCATTGTAATGTGACATGCAAAGGACTATCAAAAATAAGGCAAGAATCTGATTTCAGGAATATGTTACACTTGATAGCATGACTAGCTCTCTACCAAATTAAATTGTCAAACTGTAAGAATACCTTAATTATTAAGGTAGTAAAGTAGACTTCCTTCTGATTCAAGAATATTCAATAATGAGAGGTCATAAACTGATTGGATCACACGAATAGGAAATTTAAATCTAATAATTCACCATGATACCAAACAGTGCAAAAAATAATATTAGTGACTTTTAACTTAAATTTGAATAAATAGTGAAGCAGTTCCACTTTTCTAGATAGCAAAGTGAGGGTCCCACTTCAGGAACGTGACTTCAACATCTCTAGCTGAAAGCAAAGAAAGACGAAGGAGATTGGGCTTGTGCTTCAGTGTTTGCTGCAAGATACAAGGCTCTTTGGGGTCCAAGCATAAACTAAACAAAGTACTTTTGGAGGTTGCCTTTTACAGTTTTCACTACTCTGCAACAGTATTCAGTTGAGCAAATTAGTGATAAAATAGTTCTATTAAATCACTGTGTCGAGGTTGGCTGATGGAGTGCAGATTTGCCTGGTAGAGAATAAGGTGCAAAAAATGAGAAAGTAGATGGGTAGAAGGCTCAGGAGTGTGTAGAGCACAAACAATACAGGGAGACGACAGAGTTAGTAAAGGAGATTAGCAGTGGACATGGGGTACCCGTATCAATAGAAAGTTTTGTGCTGCAGTTTCAAACTCCAAGTGTTTGCCTGGATCCTTTCCAAATTAAAGCTACTCCACTTAGGTACAACGTAGAAAATGGAGTCGGAGTTTCAATGAATTTTTAATTTTGTTCAATCTTGAATCTGTTCAACCAAAAACAATTTAGAGAGGACTGCAGCTATCAGCTTCCAAGTAAGCAAGTTCAGCTCCTCACAAGAGAGTTCTTGAATTTCCCATAAAAATCAACAGTGTGCATCTAACAGCATTCTTTTAATTTTGCCATCAAAATGTGAATCACCACATCAAATATTCTTCAGGGCCTCTTTGGCTTCCAGATTAAACATGTCATTTTGCCATATTCTTTGCATTCTCATATTAAATAATCATAAATAATGAAATCTTGATATTCTTTGGCATAGCAGAATTGTTTGATTCAGCTTAGTTTCCAAGTCTTAGAAATTGCACTGTTCCTTCTTTAGTGTCCTCAAAAGATTAGTCTCCAAGGCTTCAGCTGAAGGATTCTTTATTGTATTCAAATTTTGTCCCATATAAGTTGCTCTGGTTACTCAAATTATGAAGAGTCTTGGAAATCGAACTTGGTCCACAGCAGAAAACTCCAACTGTTTTCCTGGAAAGAGAAGAGAAGAAATGGGAAATCAGGTACAAAACTTGGCAGAACATGATGAGCACTGAGCTGTACCAACATAGGTTTAGATATTGGAAAAGTTAATTTCTTGCTGCTTTACATTTTAGAACAACTTTCTAATTAGCTATTCATAGTTAAATTCAGAAAAATTTAACTATGAGCATAAATTGGTTGATGGAAATTTTTCAGTGTGTCTTGTATTTTCACTACATGCCACTGGTAACCATACAAAGACAAAGAGTGAACAGATGACAATTCTTTAATTGGCATTTTATAAATACTGTTCTAAACTTTTTACATGGAGTTGTATGAGTTGTAGTTTAAAAAAAAAAGAGACTGAAAAGCCATTACCAATTGGAAAGCAACATATTTATGCACCTGGAAAAAATATATATTCACTGCAGTATCCATGAGAAATGACAAATGGGTTTTAATTATTCTCCAACATAAAACATCCTTCAGTAATTAAAGCCATGCATCTTTAACAAATAGAAGAAATAAATTCCAAGAATGAAATATTTCAGTTTGCTCTTCCTCCAAGGTTTACTGATGTGCACTAGCTTCCTTCTAGGATATCAAATGTTTAACATTACCTACCCCAATGAAGACAAATGCAGGGAGCCCTCATTACCCCAGCATAATGTGGGGCAGAAGACAGAGACCAGAATTTATTGAAAGATACAAATACAGAAAACATTTTTATTAAGGCTTTCACTTTGAAAATTAAACTAAGAAGTATGAAACAGAATAATTATTTGCACTCATGATGGTAAAATGGAAACATCCTCTTCCATTAAGAACCAGAGAAAGGGCTTTGGGTGTAACTCAGTGTTAGTGCTGTTGCCTGGCATGTGTGAAGCCCTGATTTTGATCTCCAACCCTGCAATTATACAAACCTACTATTGTATAAACTTCATATATATATGTATATATATATATGATATATATTATATAGTTTATATAATAATATGAAAAGCTTAATTGTTGCTGTACACAAGGAATCACACTACTCCAATAAGAGACAGGTTGACAAATAAAAATCTTAGTGCCAGGTCTGAGAAGCCTTTCCTGAGATGTTGGACAGGGGTGTCCCAGAGACCCCCAAAACAATGAAGGCTATTGTCATTGCTCTTGGCTTTTCACCAGAACTTAACGGTAAGCTGCAATTGCTGAAGAAACTATATACTTTGGTCACAGGAAATAGAGAAATCAAGTTGCTACTGATTAGGAAGCTTTCACCTTGACAGATAGTTTTCATAGTCCAAAAAGATTCTGATTCTATGTAGGTTGCTGGAGATAAATGTTATCCACACTCTGACCCAACTGTAAACATTGAGAGCTACAATAAGGACCAGTGAGGTAAGATATGACCATGCTTGCAATAATGGCAAAAAAAAAAAATATGTGTGACCAATTGCTTTCGGATTAGTTTTAAGGCTCAGTTCACAGGAGAAATGCATGTCTAGTATTGTAAATCTGGTGATGATACCATGGCAGGGAAGCTCATAGGCTCTAGGGATGAATTCACTACTATTATCTGCTAAATGGACATAGCACTAATCTACCCACTCAATTCATATCTTTATACCTGTAAATTAGTTCAGATCTCAGAACTCAGCAGGAAATGGTGCAATGCTTGTTAGTTAATGTAGAAACTTACAACAGGTTAGAGTGCAGAAAATTAGTGTCTGTTGAGTTCTCTCTCACAAATGGGACATCTGTATCACACACCCTCTCCTTAAGGCTTAGGGGCCAGAATGGAAGAACGGGCGATTTTAAGAGCCAGAGTATAGGGAGAACTGGGGTAAAACTCTTCTGAACAGGACAGGACGGCTACACTTAGGAGTTCATGGCAGCTGTGTCTGTCCGCACAAGACCTACACGAGAACAGACAAGTCAACACTGTAGCATGGAGATGGGCTTCAAGAACCACTACCCTGAGCTGAGGAGCTACGGACAATTGATGGATGGAGGAGAGGGAGAGACAGTTTTCATTAAAGGTCTGGTCCCTGTTAGGTCAACTGGGCTCCACTGGAGATCCACACAAATGTGGAAGGGGAAGGTGAGTGTGAGAAGACATTGGAGGAGTAGGAGGGAAATGTGATCAAAATACACCTTATACATGCATAAAATTCTCAAATACTTCATATCATCAAATATCCCAAAATGTGTGAAGCAAGTGTTTCAGAAACTAAACACATAACTATGCTCTCTTGGGGAAAAATAAAGAAAACATATTAACCCTAGATTTATTATTGCTTATTGCCCAGCAACAATCTGTATGCTAAAGAACAGTGTGCAAAACCTCAAAAGTCTCGCGGGGATAAAAAGACAAAAAAAAAAAAAATGAAGTTTGTGGAGGCCAAAGAAGCTATAATCCACATGATAGAATAAAGAAGAGATAGGAAGATAGATAAATAAATAAATAAAGGAAGGAAGGAAGAGAGAGAGAGAGAGAGAGAGAGGAAGGAAGGAAGGAAGGAAGGAAGGAAGGAAGGAAGGAAGAGATCTACAGCAAGAAGCTCCAAAGTTGTGGAAAGTCGAAACTTCAAATCCTTGGCTGAAAAACCATCCGGTCATTTTCCACCCCATAAATTAGGTCAAAGGACTACAAGAGATAGCAGGTTAAGCACTTCTCAAAGTTTGTAGAGGACTGTGAAGAATTCATAAAACCACAAAGCAGAATGGAAAAACCTGTGCTCCATTGTCCCTAAGTGTCCCCTTAATTGAAAAGGGTACTTAGTGGAGATGTTGATAAAATTAACCTTAAACTTCAGATTGACATACCTCTGTACTAAGAAATCACACAGCAAGCTTCAAAGAGCAAAGTGAAACAAAGTAGTGGAGATGCATGGTGAAACAAATCCAATACAGTATGGAAGAAAAAAGTTAAAATTCAAATCTTAAAATGGGCAGAACTTAAATGTTGTCAGAAGGGCCTGGCTATGTAGGTGAATGTTATACCGTGTGCTCAGCATGCACCACCCCTCCCC